TTGTGGGTCTAAAAACATTTTTCTGAGAAGAGATCCATAGGTCTCACCACAGAGCCAAAAGGGTCTGCAACATATGAAAAGTTAAGGACCTGGGCTAAATATCCTCATTACAATGGTAGGAAGATCAATGCATTTATCAAGAAATAATTGGATTAGATGGCCTCTAAAATCTAATTCTAAAGCTTGTGACTATATGTATCCCTCCCTGACCCAACTACCACTGCCATGGTCCTCTTTCCAGTAGTCTGTAAATGCCTATGTAATGCTCCCTGAAGATTAAGACTCTCTCGTTTTTACCTTTGTAACCCTAATGTCCAATACAGTATATGGCACATAGCAGATGATAAGTAACTGCTGACTGATTTTTATATATATATATATATATATTTCCCCCCCACATATATATATATATTCTCCCCCACATATATATGTATATATCTCCACCTTCTTCCACTGCTTTCTTGTCTCCATTCAATCTATACTTTCTTGTCCCAGTAATGCCATTATTTCTTTTGCCTAGATTCACACGGTCCCACTTCCGATAATAAAGATCCCTGCATAAGGTCACAGTGAATCTATGTTATACTGAATTCTGCTGTATGAAAGATAGGTCTGTAGTATGGCTACAAAATCATTAATGGATCACTGTAAAAACATACACACAAAGCTGATGATAATACCATCCACTATATGTCACCACAGGGGAAAGATACTAAATTATTTCCCATTTTAAAACTATCCCCTTGATACACTGTGGAGGCTACTCCTTTGTGCCATGTGTCCTATTCTCACTTCACATTTTTTGTAGGTCTAGAGTTTCTATGAAAAGCTCAGTAGTCAAACATCAGAACTGTATAAATCTAAAAAGGTACCGGGCAACCATCAATGAGCTGAAACAACATGAAACGGATGATTAAATTAAACATCTGGCTTGCTCTCATTTGCTTTTCTTGGTAAAATTTAAATGTGGGATTTTACACTCCAGATTTTTCCTGCAATTAATTTGACTGTGACATTAAAAAAGTGGGGGAGGAAGCTGCAAAGGGAAAAAAAAATGGAATTCAATCTAAAACACAATGAACATATTGTGAGTTACTGCCCATCAAATCCTAGATCTGAGATGTTTTAGGGGGAGGGGGAAAGGAGGGAGGAGCAGATCCCAATCAGAGGATACAGTCTATTTACAAATACCAAGAAGGTAAATCTTTCAATAAGCACAAATAATATGGCCTAATAGGGTAAGAAAGGGTTTTTTGGATTTTCTCAATAGTACTATAGTACTTAAAGTGTTATAGAATACTTTCTTCCCCACATCCTAATATATTGGAAGTGTTATTGTCATGCTCATTTTAGGGATGATGAAGCAAAGCTTGGGAGAAGCTAAATCCCCTTAAATTTAGAGAAGTTAAATAACTTAGCTACCATCACCTAACTAGGAAGTGTCACAGCCAGGAATTGAACCTAGAGTCTGTCAATTTCAGGCCTTGCATTCTTTCTATAACAGAATGCTGCCTCTCTTTCATTTAGCCCAATGATTCAACAAATATGTTTATAATTCTGTAATATTAAGATGTGGGGCAGCTAAGTGACACAGTGGGTACAGTGAAGGGCCTGGAGTTAGGAAGACTCAACTTCCTGAGTTCAAATCCAGCCTTAGACACTTACTAGCTGTGTGACCCTGGGCTAGTCACTTAACCCCATTTGCCTCAGTTTCCTCATCTTTCAAATGAGCTGAAGAAGGAAATAGAAAATCATTTCAGTATCTCTGCCAAGAAAACCTTGAATGAGGTCACAAAGACTGAGACACGACTGAAAAATGACTGCACAAATATTAAGATGTAATAAATATGAGGTACTTAGGTTGAAAATTCAAAAAGGACCGTTAGTAATTAGCTTGGTCTGTAAAGTGTCATGCCTAGGGGTAAAATTTCTTTATTTCTTTTGGATGGAGATAATGATTAAGAAGAAATAATAATGGCTGCCATTTATATAGTGCTTCAAGGTTTGCAAAGTGATTTGCATATATTACATAATTTTGATCCTCAACACAATCCCAGGAGATAAATGTTACAAGTCCCATTTTATAGATAAAGAAATTGAGGTTGAAAAAAGTTAGTGGCTAAGGCAGGACTTGGACTCTAATGTCAAGCCTATCATTCTATACAGTACAACAGAGTAAGAGACAGTTTTTATAATACAGAATATTTTAGAAGTAGAAGGAAACTGAGACAAACAGGCTCTGTGAATTTGCAGTCTTTAAATTCACCATTTTCCTTCCCTTCAGATACAAAACTTGGCTAAATTCATTTAACACAATGAAAATGAATGTTCCTTTATTTTTGTTCACTCATTTCAGTTGTGTTTGACTCTTTGTGAAAGTACAATTTTAATTACTGTAAGATTTCCCTAAAAGTATGGCATCCCTTCACCTCTCTGGGTCTCAGTTTCTGTCTGTAAAATAAGGAAATCTTTAAAGCCCATGTAGCTTTGAAATCCAATGATTCTATACTATTGACACATCACAGACTTAATGATGAGAATTAAGGAAACTGTCAATAAGAAGCCCCAATTTGCAATTCTGTTCCTATGTACCTATTGTAATTAGTATTCAAATCATTCCTCAGAGCTACAAATTATGAATCAAGATAAGGTATGACCATGATGAAGTGCAAAATTTCTGCTCTAACATGCTTCTTAATAACATATTTCTGATTTTTTTCTTCAGCAGAATATGTAAATTTACATATACTCCCCAAATAGCTGCTGGGTAAAGAAGAAAGTAGAACATAAATGATAAGTTTATAATACTCCTAGGCTTTAAAATTACCTGTCAGGCTTCCTAATGGAATAAAGTTTCCTAAAGTGAACACAAGAATTGGAGACTCAATTATCTAGAACATTGTCATTTCAGAATTGAAGCAAGAGCTTCCTGATTAACTTATGTTCAGCAAATGGCACAAGAGACCCAGAGTTTCACAATTATTGTTCATTCTCCATTCTCCAGTAATCTCAAAGCAGCAGAAGAAATAAATTATCCCTATAATATATGATAAGATAGATACCTCTGCAATCACTAAAGATGGCTAGATGTTGACAAAGTCTCCTCCCCCAATAGCAACAAAGTATGATTGAGTGCCAAGTTTCTATAACAATATTCCATCACAATATTTCCAATATTTAAATCTACTACCAAAGAAAGAACTAGCTATACCCATATATAATGATCCAGAGAGCCCATGGCTTGGCATATGCTTCAAGGAGTTCAATGATAAAAAGAAAGGTCCCACAGATACCAAAATAGTTATAGCAGCATGTCTTAGAGTAGCAAAGAACTGGAAACAATGTAGATATCTAGTGATTGAGGAATGGCTGAACAAATGGTAGTGTATGAATGTAATGGTATATTACGGGAAGAAATATGATGAAGACAGAGAAGCATGGGAAGATTTCTATGAATACTGACACAAAGTGAAGCAGCTAGAACTGGGTAAGCAATATACCAATGACTACAACAATGTAAAATGAAAGAACAAGAAAACAACAGAAACAGAATGTTTTCAAATTAAAAGGACAAAGTTTGTTCCCAGAGAAGAGATTTCAAAATGCACTTCCTTGCCTTTGCTGAAGTGGGAAACTACTACGCAATTAATATGGGATTGGTTACTATGTTGGTTAGTTTTGTGGAACTTTTCTTCTCTTTTTAGTTCTTGTTTTACGAGGTGACTTTCTGGGAGGGCAAGGGTTAAAGGTATAATTGGAAAATATAGGTTATGTTTTTGTAAAAAGATATCAATAAAATTTTTATAAAGAACTGACCAGAGGGAAAAAAGATAAATCATTGTCAAAGCCATTTTGTCCACAAACTCAGTGAGGGGATCTACCTATGAGATCCAAAGTGGGAAATGATAATTGAGGCAAACGGTGATTCAGAGCTTGAGATATCTGGATATATACCTTCATTCCTCACTTTCCTTCATATGTGTTCATATAGTGGCTCATTAGCAAGAGTACTGTCTCTGAAGTCAGAGGATGTAAGTTTAAATTCCATCTATGACACTTAATTCCTCTGTGACTTTGCACAAATCGCCTATCCTTACTGGGCCCCAATTTCCTCATAGATAAAATTGGGGAGGGGGTGGCCTATATGCCCTCTGAGATTCTCTTTACTGTAAATCTATACCCCTAAGTACCTTTTAGAGTTACTTAAACCACTTGACATAACTTATCAGCATGGATATTCTCACAGAGGCATTCTCCATTAGAATTTAGGCCTCGAGCCCAGATTGGCTTTCTTTCATAAAAAGAAAGCAGAGACCAACTGTGCCCACGAATTCCCTTCCCTTTTGGCTTAGCATTGAACCAGTAATTTAGAGATTACCATCCTACAGTCTCTAAAAAAAACCTCTGATGTTCAAGTGATATATAAGTTGCCTTTTAAAAGAAATCCTTCCTGAAAATCAACAGTGGCTGCTGCCACAGTCTGAAGGCATAGGTGCCCATGAGAGAAGAGTGCAGAGTTAGACCTTGACATGTTTCCAGCATGAAGTAAGCACATTGTGATCTCTGACAGGTGCTGCTCATGCTCATCACTAGAGAACCTGAATTTTTTTTCCCCAAGGCAATTAATTAGTCACATGGCATCACCCCCAACCTAGGAAGGAAGCAGTCACCACAGAGGCTAAAATAGCCATCTGTGCAAAAGTGGGTTCTCCAATATCGAGCATGATTCAGAAGTGCTAATGCTTCTCTCTTAAATATTTGAGTCCTATGGACTCTTAGTTGAGAAGAACAAAATTTCAGAAAACACAAAGACCCACAAACAGGCATGCAATGTGAGGATGTGTGCATGCATACTCTCTCTCTCTCTGTCTCTCTCCCTCTCTCTCTCTCTCTCTCTCTCTCTCTCTCACACACACACACACACACACACACACACACACACACACACACACACCCCACTACCACCACCACCACCATACACCATTAAGCTTTTTACCCACCTATTTTTGCAAGGGATGCAAGAAGTATCCAAAGGGTCACTTCATATGGAATTTGCACATAATCATAATCCAGAGAAAAAACAGGCAGTCTCTCATCCTGCTCAGAGCTAGCGGTGGTAGCAACAGCAGCAGCAGCAGCAAAATGAGCCTTAGGTTCAGAGTGAGAAGTGGAGTTGCTAGATACATTCAGATCACAAGCAGCACCAGGAAATCTGAAGACCACCACCAGCAGCAGCAGCAGCAGCAACGGCAACCAGTTCCAAGCAATAGGAGGCACACAGAGATGAGAAGCCATGGTGAGGGCTTCAGCGTGCCACCTATACCCCTGTATGCTTCAGTATGCAACCCTCCACAGGGCTTCTATATTCTAGGAAGCCACTGCATTCACCTTTGCCACAGGTAACTCCCCTCCTGAGGCCAGCCTGGTAGGTTATTCCCAGCAGGGAGCTGTCATGTCATATCAGCAAGTTCCCAATCGTGGTGTTCTCAGACCTCTGACGCACAGGCATCCAGACAACTTAGCCTCTGTGTCAAATGCAGGTATGGGGTAGACTGAGTGAAATCCAGGTAAGATTCTTCATCAGCTTCAGTTTGGCCATGATCTGAAATGGAATTGATGTAGGGGGAAAAATAACCAGTCACTTCTCTCAAATCTGATTCCAAGCTTCAGAGTACAAGGATTCTCCTGTATGTGGAGAAATTAAGGAGGATGCAAAGCCTATTCCAGATCCAGCTGAAGTTCCTTCTAAAAAGAAGAAAATAAACCCTTTCCTCTTGACTCAGAGCCCAGAGAATGTCGTGTTTTGTTGTTTTTTTGTTTTTTCAGGTGCTCTCCTCCTTCTCTTTTTCTCCTCCCCCTGTTCCTTCATTTATTCTGTATGGCCAAGAGAGCAGGTAGCTTCTGAACCATTCTTAATTAAGTGCACTCCTTTGACTTTTGTAATGAAATGCTTCCCCCTCATGTGCCCTCCAGAGCTTACACTGGTGGCATCTAGTGGGCAAACACTACAACTACACCTTTGCATCACTACACCTGGGGCATTTTATTGATGAGGTATCTGCCAAGTTCCCAGTAGGTACCAAGTACTAAGTTACGTTCTGTGGGTAATGCACACAAGAAGAAAACACAATCCCTACTCTCAAGGAGATTAAGCAGTTGTAAAGGAGAGATTATGTGGCAGAATGAGCACTGAATAGAATGTCAGGAAAACTGCATTAATTCATCCTTTACCAGATGACTGACCCTAACAAGTTACTTCATCTTTTTGGGTCTTAATATCTTTTTTTTTTTTTTTAGGTAATTGAAGTTAAGTGACTTGCCCAGAGTCACACAGCTACTAAGTGTTATGTGACTGAGGCAGGATTTGAACTCAGGTCCTCCTGACTCCAAGGCTAGTGCTCTATCCACAGCGCCATCTAGCTGCCCCTTAATATCTTTTTTTTAATTAATTTATTTTGATTTTTCAACAATCACTTCCATAAGCTTTTGAGTTTTAAATTTTTCTCCCTCTCCCTCCTCCCCTCCCTCCCCAGCACAGAATACAATCTGATATAGGTTATACATATACATTCCTATTAAACATATTTTCACATTAGTGATGTTGTAACAAAGAATTAGAATTAATAGGAGTAAACACCAGAATGAGGAAACAAAACAAAACAGAAGAAAAAAATAGAAAAATAGTATGCTTTGATCTGTATTCAAACTCCATAGTTCTTTCTTTGGTTGTGGATAGCATTTTCCATCACAAGACTTTTGGAGGTGTCTTAGATCCTTGCATTGCTGAGAAGGGCTAAGTCTATCAATATTAGTCATCGCACAACATGGCTGTTACTGTGTAAAACATTCTCCTGGTTCTGCTCACTTTGTGAGCAAAGAATTGGAAATTGGAAATTGATGCCCATCAATTGGGGGATAGCTGAACAAGTTGTGGTATATGAATGTAATGGAATACTGTTGTGCTATGATGAGCAAGCAGACTTCAGGAAAGCCTGGAAAGACTTGTATGGACTGATGTTGGATCTTAATATCTTAAAATGAAAGGAGTAGATTAGATTTCATTACAAACTCTAAAATTCTATGATTGTAGGAGTTTATATGACCACAAAATCGAATACAATTTAATTTAACAAACATTTATTAAGCACTTACTTTGTGCAAGGCATAGAATTTTTTTGTTTTGGTTTTTTTTACCTACAAGTGCTATCTATAGGCCAGGGCTTGAATGTTCTCACAGAAAGCAGATGCATCAACCCTGGCCATAGATACCCCTGACTCAGTGTTAAGCTCAGAGGATACAGAGTCAAAAAAAATAAATAAATAAAAGCCCTTAAGGAGTTTACATTCTATTAAACATAAGCAAGGTATGTAAAAATGTTTAGCAATCAGAGGTCAGGTAATATAATCTGTACTGACAGAAAGGTCAGCTTAGAAATATAGGATTTTTACTAATTAGAAGGAGAGACTGAAGGATTATGGAAAGATACAAGGGAATCTCCAAAGTTTCCAAGTTTTCTTGTGTCTCTTCTCATAATCCTTCAGTTTCATGTTCATCTAGTAAAAACTACATTTCCCAACAGTCCTAGCTATCAGTACAGAGTTATCATAGCATAAAAGAGGAATTTGAGCTAGTAAGGCCTTGCTAGGTTAATGGGAGCTAAGTGGGATTCCTAAAGATATTCCAACATTCAGGTAAGGTCTGAAGCAAGAAAGGGATATGGTATGGTGGAGAAGAGAGGGAGAATATCCAACCATCAGTCTTTTTAATATCCATCAGTCTTTTTAACAAGTATTTACTGAGTACTTAGTATGTTCAAAGAATCGCACTGAGAGATATTGGAGTTGTAAAGATGAATAAGATATAATTTCTGCCCTCAAGAAGGGATTTTTATGTATGAAAGAGAAGTCTTGAGGAGCGAAGGATATAACTCTTTTTTTGAATGGAGTAGAAATCAAGGTATGGTAAGGAATAAGGGCAGTTAGAGAAGGTAGGTGCTATTCAGTAATCTTTTGGACTTCCCTTTTCCATTTGGCCAATTTTGCTTTTTAGGGCATTCTTCTCCTCATTGGCTTTTTGGACCTCTTTTGCCATTTGGGTTAGGCTATTTTTTAAGGTGTTATCTCCTTCAGTATTTTTTTGGGTCTCCTTTAGCAAGCTGTTGACTTGTTTTTCATGATTTTCTTGCATCACTCTCAGTTTTTCCTCTACTTCTCTCACTTGCTTCTCAAAATCCCTTTTCAGCTCTTCCAAGGCCTGGGACTGATTCATATTTTTCTTGGAGGCTTTGGATGTAGGAGCTTTGACTTCGTTGTCTTCTTCTGGTTGTATGTTTTGATCTTTGTCACCAAAGTAAGATATAGTCTGACTCTTTTTGTGCTGCTTACTCATGATCCCAGCCAATTACTTGAGTTTTAAACTCTTTGTTAAGATAAGAGTCTGCTTCCAATGTGGAGAATGTACTGACCCAGGCTTCAGGAGTTTGTACAGCTGTTTTCAGAGATACTTCTAGGGACCTGTAAATTTTCAGTTCTTCCAAGGGGGTATGATAAGGGGTGAGGTGTTTCCTCTCCACTGCCACAACAAGCTCCACCATGCCAGCACTCCTCCTCACCCTAGGACCCCCCATCAGAACTGTGACCCAGATCCAAGCACTGGCAGAGCAAGAGATTCCTGCCTCAGCACTGGCAAAGAGATCCCTGCAATCCCCCTCTGATCAGCCATTTGATTCTCCCTCAGTCTGTGGGCTGGAAGCTCAGGAGGCAGCCGCTGCCCCAGAGGCCGCACTTGGGACTTGTGACTGAGACCTAGCTCCTTCTCTCAGACTTTTCCCACTGACCTTCTAAGTTGTCTTTGGCTGTTCATGGGTTGAGAAGTCTGGAAACCACCACAGCTGCCCGCGATTCAGTCCTCTGAGGCCTGCTCTAGGGTTGCTGTGGCCTGCTCGCCCACGCCGAACTGTGCTCCTCTCCCCACCTGGCGCAATATACATTTCTGATCAACCATCCAGGTTGTCTTGGGCTGGAAATTTCTTTCACTCTGTCTTTTTGTGGGTTCTACTGCTTTAGAATATGTTTAGAGTCATTTTTTTACAGATATTTGGAGGGGTTTGGGGGAGAGCTCAAGCAAGTCACAGTTTTCACTCTGCCATCTTGGCTCCTCCCCCCCCCAGTCGAGGTAGGTGCTATTGATAGAGATCCTTAAAGTATAATCAAACTTAAGAATCATCAGACTGCAGTTGAAACTCAAGTTAAAATTCTATCCTTAGTGACAAGATGAGTGTTGGACTAAGAATTAGGAAGATTCGATTTTAAATCTTACCTAGCACTGACTAGTTTTATGATACTAAACAAATCACTATAATAATAATAACTAACAATAACAATAATAACTAGCACTTATATAATGCTTTAAGATTTACAAAGAACTTTACAAATATTATCACATTTTATCTTCACAACAACCCTGGGAGATAGGTGCTTTTTTTATAACTATTCTTACAAAAGAGGAAACTGAGGCTAATGAAGTGACTTGCTCAGGGTCACACAACTAGTATGTATCTAAAGCTGGATTTGAACTCAGGTCTTACTGACTCCAGGTCCAGTGCTCCACCTACTGTGCCAAAGGAAGGCACACTGTGTCTGTGTCTGTACCTGATTTTCCCAACTGTCAAATAGGGGAAGGGGGTATGAACTAGATAGCTTCTAAGGTCCTTTCTAGCCCTAACCCTAAGATCCTATGATCTAGGTGAGTACTTCTGTTAATATCAGAGAGACAGACAGAGACACACGCACACATACAGAGAAAGACAGAAAGAGAGAGAGAGAAGGAGAGAGAGTTGAGAATGGAAAAAGCATCAGGGTGTACAACATTTATGTATAATATATATTCATTTATATACATATTCATATATATGTATATATACACAAAGCAATGAACAAGATTTTGCATATTTTTATTTTGGTCGAGACCTATGATTTCACCAGCGTAGGAAACTCCCAATTCCAGATTAGCTTTGTTCTGAAATTTATTGTAATAAAGGATAAAATTGTTGCCTGAGGCACTGAAAGGTTAAGTGACTTGCTTAGGGCTTAAACTCAGGTCTTCCTGACTCTCCACTCACTACACCACGTCTCAGATTTGAAGTATGATGTGTGTGTGTGTGTGTGTGTGTATCTATGAAAAATAAAGTTTATTCTCTATTAATAATTGTCTACAGAGAATTAAGGTAAATATCCAGACACTTTTAGCCAACAGGGACCGACTGAATTATCTGCAGATCTTTTCAGAGGTATCT